AATGTCGAAGCAGAACCGAGTAGAAGGAAACACAGATCAACGCGCAGAACGAGCAACAAAGTGAAAGAGGATGGGATATTCACAATTTCTTTGTTCAAGGAGGAAGAAAATTCGCACAGGAAGCCAGTAGAAGAATGATGATGAAAGGACCACGAGCAGGAGTCGTCATTAATATCTGTAAGTGAATAAGAGATCCAAACTATGATGATGATTGGATAGTTGATTCTTGGAAAGTTCTAATCAACATGACAGGAAACAAGGAGAAAGTATCAGATATATCCAATTATGATTGGAGGGTCCGGTTTCGTTGTACGTCACAACAAATAACAACGAGAATTGCCCAATAGCTTCACATTGGAAAGACAACCATTGTTTCTCCTCCAGTAAGGAGAAAAATGAGAGTTTTACAAGATGGTTTTACCATGTGCCAAGGATGAAAGAAAACTTGCTCTCTGTATCACAAAATAGCAAGTGCAGGGTAATTATAGCGTGGTTTCGGTCCTGATAATGTTGAAGGTTTATCGTAACCTTTTAAATTAATCGAGATTCCAGTTCAATGGGAAGGGATACGGCGAGTAGAATCAATCTACGTCATGTCAGCACAAGAAGCCTATATTGATAGAAACAAGGAAGAGTTGAAAACAGCTGACTTGGTGGCATGCTCGTCTGGGACATGTTAGTTTCACAAGCTTAAGGTGATGATGAAAAGAAGTCCATGCTTAAAGGTCTTCCTCAGTTGGAATGCCGAGAAGACACTATATGTGCTGATGCCAATAATGGAAAAGCTTCACCAACTCCCCTTTGAAGAGTCAAAAAATAGAAGCAAGGTGCCAAATTGGAGTTAATACATCTCAGAATGTTCTTAGACGGATCAAGCAACCTACAACAGTAATATGAGGTTACATGATTACTTTCGATCGATGACTACTCGAGACAATGTTTGGGTAGATTTCATGGTAGAAGGAAGTCAGAAGCTTTTTGAAAAAATTCAAAGCTTTGCAAAGAAGAAAGTGAAAAAAGAAGTCCGGGAATAAAAATTAAGATGCCTTCGCATCCGACAATGGTGACAATGGTGGAGAGTACACGTCTGACGAATTCACTAAATATTGCCAAGAGCAAGGCATTCGAAGGCAATTCACATGTCCAAGAACACCACAGCAGAATCGAGTTGCTGAGAGAAAGAATCGACACCTAGTGGAGATCTGCAGGAGTTTGCTCCATGCGAAGAATGTGCCAGCTAGATTTTGGGCAGAGTGCATGAAGATAGTTGTGTACGTTACCAATAGACTACCTCAAGCAAGACTAGAGTTTACATTCCCATTCCAGAAATTGTGGAACATTAAACCAACTGTAAGTCATTTTCGCGTTTTTGGATGCGTGTGTTATGTCTTCGTTCCGGATGAACTTCGAACTTCGAAGCAAGTTTTGACAAAAAAGCACTTCGCTGGCATATTTGTTGGTTATGAAATGAAGCAAATGAAAAAGGCTGGAGGAATGTTGTGATCCTAATAACTAACAAGTGCCCATATTTTCACGAAATGGTGGTCTTTGATGAGACATCATACTTTTGGTGTTCATCTCAAGCAACCCTATACCAGACTCAAAAAGAAATTCCAAGAAAAAGTTGAAAGAAATTAAGGATGAAGGGAGTATGTCATTCCCAGAAGAAAGAGTGTCAAGGAGATGCCATCCAGATGTTTTAAGAGAATTCGAAGAGCCCTTATATAAGATAGGTGCAATACCAACAACAAAGCCAAGTCAAGAAGAACAAGATCCAGAATTATCCTCACTTCGGGCGATCGAGTCGAGAAAGAAGGCCTAATCCAAATATGCAATGCTGCTAATAGCAGAGAACAGGAGCCAACCAACTTATGAAGAAGCATAAGAAGATGGAGTGGACTACTGCGATGGAAGAAGAAAAATTGCTGCTTTGAGGAATCAAACATGGGAATTTAGTGCCAAAACCAAAAGAAATTTGTGACCCATCTCTTTCAAATGGGTCCTACAAAATCAAACTCGCCCGGATGGAATGCAATTGAGCGATACGAAGCAAGACTGGGTTGCGTCGTGGATTTCTCAACAGTAATGGCTTGGACTTGATGAGACATTTATCCAGTTGCCAAGAATCACACTGTGCGAGTAATTTACTAGCTTTAAGCAGCCTGTAAGTCATGGCCTTTGGTGGGAGATGGTGTGAAAGATGCATTCTTACATGGTGAAATATTGATCGTGAAATCTACATGGATGCAACACCAGGGTTTCAGAAGTGGTGAAAATCCCTAACTATGTGTGCCAAGCTAAAGGAAAGCTCTTATATGGTCTAAACAAGCACCGAGGGCCCTGGTATGGGCAAGATTGTGCAGATATCCCTTGTCAAGAATGGATTATGTTATGGCCTAGCAAGACTCAGTTATTTTGTAAAAGATGGAAGGAAGAACAGCTATAGTGATAGTATCATTGATTGATTTTAATAGTCCACTGGCAACAATCGAAGGATTCAACCATCCGAGAGAATTTGGCTACTGTTTCAAAATGAAAGAAGCTAGGAAAGCTCAAGCATTTTCTTGGATTGGAGATAGAAGAAGCCCAAGGAAGGTTTGTTCCTCGACAACAGAAGTATGCAAGAGATCTACTGAAGAGGTTTGGGATGGATGAAATTGCAAGCCGATATCTACTCAATGGATGCTAATGTCAAGCCTGTGTGCTCATGAAGGGAAATGATCTCGAAGATGCTACTATGTATAGACAAACTATGGGAGCCTAAGTTCGGTGGGTGCCGATACGATGTAGTATATCCCAGGGACTCACTATACTTATATGCAGTTATGAACGTGAACGAGCGCCAGCCCCCACGAAAATCCTCACTGAAGCGAGTTCGCACACACACACTGAGGATTATGTCAAAGCGAGTGGTAAGTGTGATATAGGATTAAATTATCAAGTTGGAAGGATATTGCGATGCTGATTATGCAGAAGATCTTGACACTCGGCGCTCGACAACAGGCTATGCATTTAGTCTTGGTTCAGGAGTAATCTCTTGGTGCAGCAAGAGACAACCTACAGTATCACTTTCCACAACAGAAGCTGAGTATCGGGCAGCAGCAACAGCAGCTAAAGAAAGTGTTTGGTTGTCACAGCTTATGAACGATCTACATCAACCCATCGACTATCCAATTCTGTTAAACTGTGATAATCGTTCGGCTATACAAATGGCTGAAAATCCGGTGTTTCATGCGAGAACAAAACACATGGAGGTTCACTATCACTTTATCAAAGAGAAGGTTCTACAAAGGAGAGATTAAAATGAAATATATCAAGATGGAGGATCAACCAGCCGATATCTTTACAAAGAGTTTAAACGCAAATAAATATGAAGATTTTCTCCAACAGTTGGGAATGATGAAGAAAGAGAAATTAATCGTTGAGGGAGAGTATTAAAATATCACCGATTAATTTAGAAAAGATAACCACCAAAATGGAAAGTTTTAGAAACGAATAACACCAAAATGGGGTTAGGCTACAATAAAATAAAATATTTGGCAGCTTAAGAGCAACACACACGCAGTATATGACCTATAATGCCGCCCACCACACGAATACGCCCCCACACATGAGATTGTAATGAAAATATCCTTACTAACGTCTTATCAGTGCTATCGAGAATTACTTGATGATATTTCTATTCTTGTTATATTATATCTATCTCTCTGATATATCAGTATTTATCGAGTGAATAGACCGGTGGAAATGCTTATAAATACGCCACTCTCACCTGTCATTTGGTAAGAAACCAAGCAAACCAACGAGAGCTAAATATACAGAAGTGAGTGCAGTGTGTGATATTCCATACTGTCGTGATGTATCATATGAATATATGAGTGTTGGAGCGTGATTAGTTATACCCTTTCCCGAGTGAGTGTGTGTATATCACCTATCATAGATCACCCACTTATTCACGAGCTTTCATACGCATTGCGGCTGATATCCAACAAGCTATGGGTATCAGAGCTATTAATTCCCAACAATGTCGATATCAGAAGCTTTAACTACTCAACATGGTGAACTACAGCGGACCATCAAAAGACAGCTGGCGAACGGCTATACGTTAGCTCTAACTGCTAAGGACTATTTATATGTTGTGCGAACGTAAGTCGAGTTATTTGTTATAAATTATTAATCAATCTTGGAGTTTATCACTGCGCTGATATCCAACAAGTGGTATCAGAGCATTAATCCCAACAAGTGATATCAGAGCTTTAATCTCAACATGGAGAACTACAGGGGACATCAAAGACAGCTGGGAAAGGTACTACGTTACTCTTTCTAGGCATTTAATATTTGTCAAGTAAGTCGAGGTTTTGTAGTTTTTTGTTTGTTGTTTTAGTGTCACATCAATTGCAGATGAAAACAACATTTGGAGAAGATGTGCAGGACATGGCAGGTGGAATTGTAACAAAACACTTTTTTTAATCACTAGTAATTAATTGATAGTTTAATGATCCAGTTTAAAATTATTCTTATGATAATATGTAATAGATCTTGACATGTTAAAAGTGGGCAATGGAGGGATGAGCTTGTCCTTATATATTTGCTGTTGCTTTTCCTTATAGTCTTTTTCATTGATTCACTCTGTCTCCACTTTTCCTTGTCCTTTTGTTTTATTCTTGTTTTAATAGTCTATAGGAGCCAATGGTTTCAAGGATAGATTGTTTTAGAAGAAATGAAATATTGAAAATAGTTTTGACGTGATTCACAACAATTCTATTTAGAAGAAATTATATATTGAAAATAGTTTTGATACAATGGAAACTGATGCTTCTGCAATTTATTTGTTTTGTTATATATAATTTTCTACATGTGTATGCCTTTGTATATCAATTTTTGGGGCAATTTGTTCTGCTTTTCTTAGCATTTTTCAAGTGACAATTATTTCTTAAAAGAGATTATTGGACTTCTCTTTAGGTTAATTGACATATTGTTGATCTAAACTGCTTTTGCAGACCCAATATATGCTTGACCAGCTTTCTGATCTTCAAAACAAGGTATATGCAAGTGGAATTAATCATATCATAATTCACTTTTATTATGTTTCTTCCGACAGGAACAATTGTTGCTGGAAGCTAACAGAGCTTTGATAATAAAGGTAATACTTAACCTGCATTGTTCAAATTAAATTACATTATTATAAAAAGTTAGGCTTATTGTTGATAAAGAAATCGAAGGAAGGCGATTTGGATGCCATTGATTAATATGAAGAGTTTTACAAATTATGAACAGATTGAGAATGAATATGGGAATATAATGTCTGCATATGGAGCTGGTGGAAAAGCATACATTAATTGCTGTGCAAATATGGCTAATTCGCTTGACATTGGAGTTTCATGGATAATGTGCCAGCAAGATGATGCTCACCAATCAATGGTATATAAATATATACAAATTTATCTAAACTAATTATTTATGATTTTGTTTTATTAATTGAACAATTCAAATGTTTTAATTAACCAAACTGGACTGGTTGGTTTAAGGGTTGGGGTGGTAAAGATCCACACAGGATTGCTGAGGATCTTGCTTTTGCTGTTGCTAGCTTTTTCCAAACTGGAGGCACATTACAAAATTACTACATGGTTAGTATTTAATTAAATTATCATAGAATTAACTTATAATTTATATAATTTTATTTTTTAATTACTTCTTGGTTTTTTAGTCCCCTTAATGAATATGGTAGGAATATTTTTCTTATTAATTTCAGCTTTTATTTATTTATTTTGTTTCTGTCATTAATATATTTATGTTGAAATTCTTAATAGGAAATTTGGATCAACCAAAATATGGCAATTTGAAGCAGCTCCATGATATTTTGCACTCTAAGGAATATGCTCTTACACATGGGAACATTTCCACAATAAATTATGACAATTCAGTAAGTGTAAGTATTATTGAGTGTAATTGGAGATTATACAATTAATCACCTTATTTTATATAATTAATTATAAATGTTTTATTTTCGAATTTGCAGGCAACTATTTATGCAATTGAGAAAGAATCACGTTGGTTTTTGAGCAATGCAAGTAGCACACCAGATGCTACCATTGTGTTTTTAATACTTAGAATACGAGATTCAACTAACATATTTGTTGAATTAATTTGCAAGATATTATAAATATAATATATTGAAGGTGTATTATGGTATATGGAGTTGAATTGAAATTATTGATTATTAGATTTTTTTTGATGTTATATTAAAGCAGGTTGCTTATGTAAATTTAGAAAAAAAATTTTTTTTTTTATTTTTTTGAAATTAGCAACAAAATAGCGATAAATTAGCAACAAAATAAATTCATTTTATTAAAATAACAAATAAATTTAATGACAAAATACCGATAAAAGTCTAACAAAATACTTTCAAAATTTGTCTACTTTATTTAATAAATTACCGATAAAAAATTACAAATTTGGCGACATAAATTATCCACAAAATACGGTTTTGTAGCTAAAAAAATAGCGACAAGATGCTAACGTTTTTGTCATTATTTTGATGGTAAAAAGTAATTAGTGTCAAAATATTATGAATTAGCGATAAAACTTTTTGTCACTAATTTATTTTATTTTTTTTGTAGTGTTTATTATAATAAACCAATTAGCTAATAAAAACTGTTGTTCCGACAAAAGAAAGTATATAATACAATTTGATGAGCAGTAAGAAAATACCACATCAATTAACATATTCATGTCAGCTATCAAAAATCAATTTTATCTTCTTTAACTTAGTTATAAACATGTATATTAATTATGTTAAGGTCAGAAAACTGCACCGTCAAAATTGAAAAGTACAAGTCATGTAGGAATTGCACAACTATTAAAACTCATGTATTGTTATCAAATAATAATAATAATAATAACAGTTTAGTCTAATTCATAAATTTAGACAAGATATGTCCTTGTAAAGTGGTTTTCTATTTAACCTATAAAAATCAATAGTTAATCCTTGTTTTTTAGCCTATAAAGTAGATCTAAAATATAGTTGTATCTTTTTCCTGAACTAACAAATCAATGACCGTGAAATAATAGATGAAATCGTTTATATCTAAATAATTTATGTTATTTTATGAAACCAAAAAAAAAAAAATCTTGACCGCTTTCCTTAATATAAAATAGCCATATACATACATATAAAATTAAAATTATTTATTTTGTCCAATAACAAATCTATATATTATATCAATTAATCATAGTAATTATATTTTCAAAAATATATAAAATTACCTCATGAAGTTCAACGATGAATCTTAACTTTGATTATCGCAAAAATCAAAAGAGCAATGTAACGAAAATCAAAATAGTAGTAAAACAATCTCGTGCTGATAACGTGTTATAAAAAAAAAAAAAAAAAAAAAAAAAACAGGGGGTGTAAGAGAAGAAAAGGAATAGGAGCAAAAAGATGAGAGTGCGGAGAGTGTTATTATTAAAAAAAAAAAAAAAAAAAAAAAACAGGGGAGTGTAAAGAGAAGAAAGGAATAGGGAGCAAAAGATGAGAGTGCGAGAGTGTAATTATTATTGATGAGAAGCCACATATATATAGTTACATAAGTGGAACCCTAATAGAGTCTTATACAAATCAGAAAGAGAGAGTTTGCAATAATAAAAAATACAAACTTCTAACATGTGTAGCACATCCACTTATTTTATAACATAAATATAATAAAAATTAAAGAAATATAATAAATAAATATAAATAATTATAGAAGATAGAAGAATTAATCCATCATTTAATTATTAATTATTCATTTAATTATTAAAAACAAATACAAGATAATTTTAGGAATCAATTTCTTGATCTTTATCTTCAATTTTAGGAACTTACAAATTTCTTCTTTTAAACCCCGAACAATGAACCCACAAAATCCTTCAAATTGTACACCATCATTGACTATATATGTTGTTAATGAATTTTAATGCAAGATGAAATGAGAATATTTATTGATGCTTCCTTTAATAAATTAATGAGGATTTTAAGAAATTAATAAAGTTGTATGAAAGATGATTTTTTTGATTTAAATAGAATATAGATTCTTATATTCAATAAACTTAGTCTATCCTCACACATTGTGCGGTTTAATGTTTATAAATGTTTTATTATGAAAGAGTTGTATTATTTTTATATTTAAAAATTATTTTATTGATTATTTATTTATTTCATCTATAGACTACAAAATTGCATAATTTTATTAATTAATAGAGTTATTTTTTGATAAATTAAAAGATTCATAAAAGATGATAAAAATAATAAAGAAAACTCTAAAAATATATAAATAACTTATACGAATTAAGTTTGATTACACAATAAAAGAAATAATATGTATCATTTAATCTTTTTCTTAAAAAAATATATATATATTTTTTTTAGTTTTCGACTATTATAATAAAAACTATTAATCTCACTTTTTCTATAAATTTAAAAAATGATAAAGCACTCTATTTTAATAAATTTAAAATAATAAATTCACCTCCTTAACTAAATTAAAAATAACAAACGTAAATATGCTTACCACCAATATATTGTTAGCTAAGATTTCCATTAAAGGGTTAAAGTTGGTGATTTCAGGCCATTAACTGTGCGGAGGGGCTGCTGTCCCTATGATTTCAGGCCATTAACGGGTATCTTTGGTGGAGAAGAAGTGATGAGAAGAGGTGAGTTGGCGATTTGGTGTTGTGATAAGAGTTTACCATCCAACAACTTAATTGTTTTACTTAGTTTGATATGGTTTAAATAAAAGCCTAGTCAATAAGATTTTCAAATGGGACTACAAAATATTTTATTGAGTAAAATATAAGCATATAGCTTTCTTATTTAATTTTAAATTTAATAGCTTTGGAAAATAAAAATTTGGGTCATGTTAAATTGTTCTTTAATTTTAATTAAACCGTAGTAATTAATTTCATATTTAATATTTATCCTCGAATAGTTTAAAAAGTTCTCGGCTTTAAAGTTCCGATAATATGATTATGGGCTTAAACCCAATTTGCAAACTTGGGCTTAAAATAAAATTATTCGGCACTTGAAGTCTATCAAATTAAAAATCTGGATTTTGATTTAATAAAAATATAAAATTTTTGAAAATAAAAATACAGATCGTTTCACTTAAAGATTTGATACTTAAGGCAGGGCACTTGTTACCAATCGAAGCAAAATATCTAGCTCAAAATTACAATAGCTAGATATGTAAATCGAGTTAGACAATTGTAAATCGACCTCGATTCGAGCTAACTAGTGAAGTCCTACTCTTCGTCTCATGCTGACTCTGGATGGTTAAATACAAGGCAAACACTGACAACTAAGCACATGATAGAAACACAATCTCCTAATCACAAGCTGACAAAGAGCCCTTTGAATCTCTATACAAAGGACTGCGATGTCCTCCACTCAAGTATAGCAGTTGATCCTTGATTAATAACAATCCTCTTACAGCTCTCTTTCTGATTTTAGCATCACAGTGTCTGCAGGTACCTTCTCTTTGATGACTAGAACATCTGTTCTTGCATTGCCTGACCATGCTTTGACCATAAATTTGTACCCAACTTAGTTTCAAGAATTGAAACTAAATCATAAATATTTTTATCATGATGCAAATACGCCAAATTGATAATTCGACTTACTTGCTTCCCCCTCATTCTAGATTGCGTCTCCTCCAAACAAACTTGATAAATTATTCAAATTTTATTTTTATTGTAATGGCAAGCACTTGTGAGCTCGGTTCAAATTGAGTAGGATGATATTGAATAAATAAAAAACTTTTTAAAATAAAATCGGACGAAACTGAATTAAATAATGTATTAAAACCAAATTAAATAAATTTAATTTAGTTATTTATGATTTTGGGTTATTTTTTAAGAGGAAAAATAATTATTTCGTCATTGAGATTTATTATAATTATTTAAGTAGTTCATGACTTTTATGCAAATATTTATAATATTCTTAAGATTTACTTATCATCCTACTTGGTCATGTTTGTTTGCGATTAATTTTTCATAAAAGGATCAAGTTATCCTAAATTCTCTAATAAACAGATTTTTTCGATCTCACTTTTCTCTATTCTCAATACTCACGAACGTGGGAAAAACAAATCAAAACACATGCATAAAAAATCAAAATTAAAGAAAGAGATAAATGTATCTTAATTGAATACCAATTCCCAACTAATTTAGTTACATCCATAACCCAACAGAAAATAAATCTACTGATTGAAAAACAAAATACTTTGTAGCTAAATAAAAAATTAAACCCAGAAAATACAGTTTTGATTAATTCTTCATTCAGGCACTCAACCGCATCTGGGATAAATTTTCCAGTTTGTTATTCGAGTTTGGCTGAAATTTTCTGGTAAAATGCTTCGAAATCAACAGGGCCTTTCTTAAATTACTCATTCAAGGAAAGAAAAAGAAGAAAAATGAAAGATGAGTCATTATACAAATAATCTAATGTCACCCGTACACCATGACGGAATCCTGAGATAGATAAGAAAAGATAACTCATAAGTAAATTCATCTACACCAAAAAAAAATTTGATACATATGCAAAAAAAACAAAAAAAAAAAAAAAATTGATGTTAGCATTAGGCAAAAGTAGAAACAGACACTAATACCTTCTTTAATGCCTTCTAGAATAGAGCACAATTTTTTTTAAAAATAGAAAATAAGGAAGAAGATAGAGCGGCTAGTTTAGGATATGATCGAAAAAGAACATTAGAGATGCAGCTCCATGAGAAATTGAATTTGCAAGAGACCAAGTTACTATAGGACTTGAGCACACAATTTAAGGATCGGATTTGGGTATTAGGGTTTTAGCTCCGGCGGTGATTTGGAAATGGAGATGATGATTTACGGTGAAATGGTTATTATTTGTGGTGGCTAAAAGTAGTGTTAGTTTGAGAGACGGGTATAAAATTTGAATTATAGATATTTTAGAGAGGATAGGAATAGACAGCAATGAGAAAAAATTTTATAAAGGCTAATCTTATCTTTTTTACTTTAAAATTAATAACAAAAACTGTGTTTTTTAACTGAAAGACTAAATAATATATCAGGGTAAATTTAAAGAAATTATAAATATTTATAAAAAAATTAAAACTATTTTGATAATCATGACAAATATCGAAAACGAAATAAATAAGATTCATGAAAAGCAAATTAAATAACGACAAAATACGGTGAGCCTTGTTAGCCCATAACACGGCATCTCAACATTTTAGCTCTTTTGACCAGACCAGAGTCGAAAGACTAAGAGACTAAAAGAGAAAAGACAAGGGAGCAAATATTCTTCCGCCGAGGCAGCGCTTAAGGCTCCTGAAAGCGAGATGTGATGATTTTGCTCGCCTGGGTGTACATAAAAGCGAATACTGCATATATTCAAATGATGATGAGCAGCAAATTTTAGTTGCTTCAAATGGATTACGAAAGGATCGAAAAGCCTCTGGTACTTGTAAATTTCTATTTATATTCTTTAGCCTTTTGCTTGCTTGCATGCGCTTCTCGCTTTACTTTCTCTTCTCCCAACTTCCTTCCCAATCGAAAATGGCAAGCTGCTCAAGAAAAATTCAATGCATTTTTGTTTTTTGCTTGTGATCTGTCAAAAATGTAACTGGGTTTCTGGGTTTTGACAGGGTGGAGGATTTTCCCCTGGAAAACTGAGAAATATGCTTCTTGGAGTGGAAAAGAAAAGAAGGGAAGAAGAAGAAGAAGAGGTGGATTCTGCTTACAACTTGAGATCTCAATCATCTCATCTGGATGAAGCTGGTAAATAACGACTTCTTGTATTTATTACTTTTGGTTTTTGTATTATGTGTCCATGTTTTGTCCTTTTTTCCAAAATAATGTTTCATAATTGCGAAATGCTAGTATTCGTTGCCATTATCTTTTTGTTTGGTTCCTAAGAAATTTCTAGCTCTTCATTTTTCTGAGTGTAGGATTGCAAATGTTTCTGCTTGTAGAACCAAATTTTATTGTTGCTCTATGTTATTGAAGCTAATATAAAAAAGTGGAATAATTAAAGATTGATTATTGTTTGTATTAACTGATTAGCAAGTAAAATCTCTTGTAGGTGGTAACAGTTCTGATAATTGCAAAGATGTAGATGTTGTCACTGTACTGCCTGAATGCTCCACTTCAACCACAGCTGACTCCGTGAGTTCTCAGATGGTTGCTGACCGTAGATCAAAGGATCACTCTCTTGTCAATCCAAGGATTAGGTCTCAGGAAGACTCATATTTAGATTATGATAGCAGACATGATTCTGTGAGTGTGTCTTCCACATCTTTTGAATTTCAGAAGGCAGAGCGTGGTACACAAAAAGTGCACCTGGCTCCATTTTCGAAGCCAGCACCATCCAAATGGGATGATGCCCAGAAATGGATCGCTAGCCCCACTTCAAGCTGGCCAAAGGTTGGGCAGTCTCAGGTGCAAGGCGGACAAGGCGTTGGTTCACGAAAGATGGGTAATGTTGCTTATATAAGCAGACAATCTTCCACTAAGGTTGTTGTTGAAGTTCCAGAACAAAAGTCAGTTGCATTTGAAGAACCAGATACAAAAAGGGTTGATAACAGTCAAGCTAAGAAGGAAATCGGGATGCAGAAATTTGTTAGTTGGGAGGCTGATCCACACCCGATTGTGGATGCATATGGCAAGCCTGTCCTCATGATTGAGAATTCTGTCGAGGAATCAGCAAGTAAGAAAAACTGTTCCTTGAATTTGTTCATATGCTTAATTTCCTTTTGCAGTCAAATTAGTTGGGAGAGAGAGAGAGAGAGAGGAATCCACTTGTTATGTTTGGAACATAATGTGCAGAGTTTCTTCACTGTCCATAACACCACCACATTGTAATAAATATCATACTCTTTCTCTTGAGAAAATAGAATTTATTTAATGCATTTAAATAAAATAATAACATCTTGAAGAATGATGAATTAGGAGACTGAATTATCTTCCTCTAAATAAATATCAAATTAAAGCACCTCTTGCATATCAGCCAGAGCTACATAGTCGTAAAATATCCCTTTTAAAGCTTAATGAAAAAAGACCATAATGAAGCCACAAGAACTGATTACCCCAAGACAACTACATGAGAAAATTTTGATCCTTGCATCTGTTGTAACTCATTTCCATTAGTTGATATTAACCATTGATTGGCAGTGGAGGATTCAAATAGCTACATAGTCCTAAAATATCCCTTTTAAAGCTTAATGAAAAAAGACCATAATGAAGCCACAAGAACTGATTACCCCAAGACAACTACATGAGAAAATTTTAATCCTTGCATCTGTTGTAACTCATTTCCATTAGTTGATATTAACCATTGATTGGCAGTGGAGGATTCAAATATGCTCAGATGATTTACCATAAATAACACAGGCAATTAGATGAAGCAATGTTATGGCAATCTCTCTAGATTTTTGTCCAAGTTCGGACTTGAGGAAAAACTTTTACCATTTAAATTACGGTGTATTTAGGATCTTTGGAGAGCTGAAAAATATGGTTACTACAGGGAGATTCTGGATGCAAATGCTTTTTTTCTATTCAGTATGTCTTCTTTAGATTCTAAGTATTTAATTAACCTTCAGCATTATTAGTGGCTAGAAACTGACCTAAATTCTCAAGTATTAGGAATTTGTTCTTCCAGTGGAAAGCAAATTAACCGATTAAGTTGACATAATGCAGGAAACCTTTCTTTATGTTTACTGCTTAAAAAGTTTCTGCTTCAGTATTTCAGTGCTAGACTGAATATTAGAGCTTGGTCAACATGCTCAAATGAAATTTTGTGGGTGACCGTTGTTCGGTATTGAGATTTGGTAGGCTGACATATCCTTTGATCCAAGTTTAGTTATTGTTGGAAGTATGGACTCCATTAGTAAGGATAAGACCTTTTTGGAGATTACCATTGGCAGCTAAATTTGATGAGAACTTTAAGTTGTGCCATAATTTCTTTATTGGGGCTACATTGGAGATAACAAAAGAGCCAATGGATATTGTCATTTTGCAGCATTGACTTCTCAAAATATTCTTAAGTTACTCTCAATTATACGGGCTTCAACAGACTCCTTTTTACACTCTGTTCCATTGCCTCATCCAAGCTCTTTTATTATATTTGGGCCAAATTGAAGTTGTAGCAATGGTACATGCATGTCATCAAGAGACTCTTGCAAGACCAATATAGTGTTAGATCTACAAACGTAAATGATAGATTGCGCAATAATAATGAGCTTGACCTTGTTAGACGGCTTGATGGTAGTCTCACAATCCTTCTAATTCCAATAAGGAGGCATTTGGAGTTGGTTCTTGTGTTGAGAGAGTGGAATTAGGGGCTGTGGTTTTGCAATTGTTCTTGATAGAGTTGATACCTGTGGATCTTGTGGGGGTGGCCTTTAGCTATTGGAAAAATTGATTGGTAGGCTTTATCAGTGATTCCAAGTAGGGGCATCACGAATGATGATAGGTGCATTTTAAAGGCTTTATGAACCATTTTGGCCAAAATTTAGGAAAGACAATCTTAAAAAACTCGGGGAACACCTCATAGCATTTGGGTCAATGTTTGTTGATTAGGTTGGTCTGTATCATGTGACATTTTTATTCCTTTTCTTTGCAGTATGACTGAAAAATTTCTTCAACTTTAGTGTATTTTATGATTTTGCTCAATTCTTTTAATTTTTTTAATCACTTGAACTTTTTTTTTTTGTCACAACTTGGACATCCATTAGCATTATGCAAATTATTGCTATGGAACTTCTGTACTTAGGGTAGTTTTACTGCTGTATTTAGGGTGGTTTATTTAATTATTCAGTTTTTATCATGTTATTGTCAGTTTCTTTTTTAGCAGGTATTAGTGTGGTGGTTAAGCAAGTAATTTATTGTAATAGGTAGTTATTAGTTGGAAGTTGTTGTTGTGGACAATGGATAAATTTAGCTTTGCATTTAGTTGTTTAAAAGACTCTGATATCAGGAAAATTTTAGGCAGAATTTTTAAGAAAAGGTTTGAGTTCCCAAAACTTAGATATTCTAGAGATCTTTCTTAGCGAGCTCTAAGAGATTGAAGATTCTCTCTAAGTCTGCCACCATGTATAGAAGAAAGAAAACTCCTTCTAAGACACCCTATTTCAAACCTAATCCCCTAATTCAAAGACCCATAACTAGATCCAAATTTGGGACTGTAATATTCAGTATCAGAGTCAAAAGTTATGGGAAACTCTATTCAACAACAACTTGGTAGAATTCTGACATTATTCTTAAAGGAACAAGCTGCCAACAAAGTTCGACATGAAGAACTCAATCTAAATTAGATGCCCTTACCTGTGTTTTTTTCTGATTCAAAAAAAAAAAAAAAAAAAAAAAAAAAAAATGAAGAACTCAATCTAAAATTAGGATTGCCCTTACCTGTGTTTTTTCTGATTCAAAAAAAAAAAAAAAAAAAAAAAAAAAAAAGAACACAAGAAAAGAAAAGAACAGAAAAAGAAACATCAACAACTGGAAGGGAGCCAGCCATAGGTAAAGTTATTGAAAGAAAAAGTCTAGTAGGTTCAACAATGGAAGGGAGCAGCCATAGTCAAGTATTGAAAGAAAAAGGTCTAGTAGGTTCAGCCAGTCCGGAATCTCCTATGGGCAGTACCATTGTTTCAAAATTCACCAAGTTGGATTTTCTTAGGCCACATATAAGGAGTAATAATTTAGGAAAGTTGGCAAAATTGAACCAAGAACTGTTGCAGAGCCAATAGTTCTCCAGCAACCATTTCAAGTCTTAATAGCTATGTGTATAGAAGACAGAGCAAAGCAAAAGAAATAAATAATCAAACAACATCAATTGTTAGCACAACTAGAGGGCTTCCATCTGATTTGGCAGCCTCTAGATGGGAGGGATTGGGAAGAAGCAATTTGAGAATGATGTAGAGGAAACATTAGAGGAGCCATTTGATCCAGGAATATTAATTAAATATAGAAGCACGCTAAGCAGGTCCTTGTTTGCAGCAATAATAGAGGGTGATAAGGATTTTGTATGTGTCACATTTTTACAAGTTGAAGATTTCATGTCACTAGTCCTTTGCACTTGAGGACAAGCGCCTTCTCGAGGGGGATTGTAATATTATGGAGCTGGTGTATTTAGGGTAGTTTTACTGCTGTATTTAGGGTGATTTTATATAGTTGTTCAGTTTTTATCATGTATTAGCAGTTTCTTTGTTAGTGTGTATTCGGGTGGTTAATTTATTGAAATAGATAATTATTAGTGCATAGTTATTATAGTGGGTAGTGGATAGTTTTAGCTTTGCTCTTAGTTGTTTAAAAGGCTCTAATATCAGGAAATTTTAAGCAGAATTTTAAGAAAAAGTTTTGAGTTCCTAAAACTCAGAGATTCTAGAGTTCTCTCTTAGCGAGCTCTAAGAGATTGCAGATTCTCTCTAAGCCTGTCACCATAGCTGGAAGGAAGAAAACTCCTTGTAGGACACCCCATTTTGAACTCGATCCCCTAATTCAAACACCCATAACTAGATCCAAATTTGGGACCGTAGCAATTGCATTAAAGTAGAACAAATATTTTTTTTTTTAGAAAAAAATCTTCCTCGGCAATGACATAAAAATGATCTTCGTATCCCCAATCCTTGCATACTCCACCTCTACACACCAACTCTCGTCAATGCCCCACCTTTCCCTCCCTTCACAAGACGAGAAAAAAAAAAAGATCTCTCTCTCTCTCTCTCTCTCTCTCTCTCTCTCTCTCCTGCTTTTTCTCATAAATGAATCCTTAAATTCACTTTACCCTCCTTTTATTTGCAAAGCTCAAAATGCGTAACTAGCAATCAGTTACAAACCTTTAATACCCATTAAAACCCCATCATCACACACACAACCCACCACTAGACTATGATAGCCATGAGGAATGGCATGTGTGTCATCTTGTTAACCCACTATAGAACAACCAACTTGGGTGAGTTGATAATGAAGGACTTTAAACTAACATTGGTGATTGGATTACTGATAACCTAAAATCCTTCATCTCTGTGGTGATTGGACTTTTTTATTTCAAATTCCTCGGTGATTGGATTACAGATTCTTCTTGTTTCTTTTCTTCTCCACTTGTTTGCCCTTTTGATGTGGAGAAGCTATACTTTTGTTATTCTATTTGTTTACTTTCTTTAAACTGTATTTTCATTTTAAATGTGGGCCTGTTTTAAAACAACATATACGGGGCTTTTTTTAACTATTTGTTTTAAATATTATTTTCAGTAATTTTAACTGACTATTTATTATGTTCATTATAATTCAAAAAATAGCTCTTGATAAAAAAGTGATGAAATGCCTCTAGGCATAAAATTTAGCTAATAGAAAGACTATCAACCCCAACAATTCACCTACTACGACCCAAATTAGTGTACTAACTAAACCTACCTCTACGAACCATATATACTATTAAATGGCATATTTTGTACGCATACCCATTCTAGGCCCTGAAATTTACCACTTTGTAGGTAACTATTTGTAGGTAACTATGTTCAGAATGATATTTACATAGCATGTTAGTGGTTATTGGGAAAAAGTTTTATCAAACTATTGTTTTTGTATTTGTGTGCTTTATAGTTATAGTGTATTAAGCAAATAAAAAAGATATATAATTTTAAGGGCATTATTGTAATCCATTACATTCTTATACTTTCTCTTGGACTAACCAAACACAATTATTACATTCTTAAGAAAAGCGTATTTATAACCAAACATCATAATTCAAACATCATAATATTGTAGAGCACTAAGTTCAAGAGTTGTTTGGTCATTAGGCTATACTTGTCGAAGGTAAAGGGTCATTTGTTTGGGCTAAACTCTGAATACTGAATCTGAATGAACAACATATTGAATTGAATGATTAAGATGCATTAAGAGCTAATTCCTGAAGTATTTAAAAGCGATATTTAGTATCATTCTATAATTGTGAGGGCAGTTTTACATTTTCGTTTAATAATGTTGAGAATCTGGGCCCTAGGAGCAATTAATGAAATCAAATTCAATTATTTATTTAATATTGGGCTTATAATGAGTTGGGTTTATCTTTAACACAAAATGGCCTAAGCCATTTTGGTTGGTTCACCCCATGGGCCCTAGGAGCAATTAATGAAATCAAATTTTCAATTATTTATTTAATATTGGGCTTAGAATGAGTGGGTTGTATCTTTAACAACGCAAATGGCCGTAAGCCATTTTTGGTTGGTTCACCCTTACATTATATGCCCTTTTGTAGTTTAGTTGGTATTTATTCTGATGAGGGGATTACCATATACTCCAAACACTCCCCTCATCAAGTGGAAACTAACCCACTTTGATACGTATAGCGTTACCAGAATGACCAACACATGGGTCCATCAGAGTATACGACCCAACACAGGGGATCAAGTCTCACCCTTATGCCAGAGTGTCTGATCCCAGGCTCTGATCCATGTTGAGAATCTGGGCCCTAGGGCGCAATTATTAGAAATCAAATTTCATTATTTATTTAATATTGGGCTTTAATGAAGTTGGTTTATCTTTTAACAAAAATGGCCTAAGCCATTTTGGTTTGGTTCACCCTTCACATTATATGCCTTTTTAGTTAGCTCTGTATTTATCGATTGGAATTACCCATATATCCAACAAATAGTTATATAGCTTACCTGAACCAAATTTAAAAAGAGCTTTTTCATTTATAAAACAAAATGTTGGCTTGCAAAAGGCCTAAGCCATTTTGGTTGGTTCACCCTTCACATTATATGCCCTTTTAGTTAGTTGTATTTATCCGATGTGGGATTACCCATATACTCCAACAAATAAGTTATATAGCTTACTGAACCAAATTTAAAAAGAAGCTTTTTCATTAAAACAAAATGTGGCTTGCAAACTCAGATAAGATTCTATGATTCAACCCAGACAAATTAACTTATTTCTTGTTCTGCAAATAAATAAGTTGAGGTCCAATAAGCTATCAAAAAGACAAAACAAATGACCACTTAGTATCACTTTCATATGAGTATATTTGCTTTTCACAGTCAGTCAGCCTGCCTAGTAGCGAAGCCAAGATTTAAAAGTTATGGAGGCCAAAGAAAAATTTTCAATGTCGCTGGAGGTCACAAAATTTTCATAAAAAAATTACACTAAATGTAAATTTGAAAAAAAATTTTGAGCTACCTGTCCCCCTTACCTCCACCGTCAAGCCTGTAGACTGCCATAGTATCTATGTGAGGGAACAAAGCTGGGTCTTGCCTTCCTTCAGCAGCAATGGTAGTGGAAACTTTGGTATGATAGGAACACTGAAGATTTGACTTTTAAGAAGGGCTAATAATGCTTCACCAATGGACCTGGTCACAAAAATTCGAGCCAAAGGTTACAAGGTTGGATGATTGCCTCAGCCATGTTTTCTGGTTTCAATCATGCCAAATGCAACATGGGGTCTTGAATAGTTCAGTATGAAAGATCAAAATTGGCTGAATCTTCTTTATTTTACTTGTATATATTCAAAGAAAAAGTTAAATGAACTCATTAGAGATTTCAAAGAGATGATTGCAAAAAATACTTGAGTTGAGAGCTAAGAATTGAAGAAATTTTATGCAAAGGTGAAAGTCACTAATCTTGACAGGGTTTTATACATGATCATGAGACATTGAATAGATTGGTAGAAAACAAAACCAATGTTTCGAACCCTTCACAAACAGTTGTTAGAGTGTTAAATTGGTGTTACGGCTCCGTTTCTTTTCGGAAAATAACTTATCTATGAAAAATATTTTCCAACGAAATGTTCTCCTTGAAAAATATTTTTCAAATTACTCATTTTCTATTGTTTGATTGCAATATTGAAAATTAATTAAAAAATATTAAAATTTTTAACTTGTAAGACCATAAAAATATTTATAATTATAGAAATTTCGTGTTTTAAAAATTTATTGTTAAATATGAGAATAAATGCATAAAAAATGATAAATTATGATAGTTACTGGTGACCGATGATAGTGGCTACCGATAATATTAATAAATTAAAAAATGTGTATTTGTAAGGTTATATTAAGTTTGTTAATGTTCAAAAAAATGTTATTTTCTCTTCAAAATGGGAAGTCATTTTCCTTAAATATAATTAAGTTTTTCTTTGAGCAAAAAAATATTTTCTATTGACTGATTTTCTTGAACATCCCAAACATCGGAAAATTTGGAAAACATTTTACAGAGAAGTTATTTTACAGTTGTCTCAACAAAAGGATATTAGGGGCACTGTTTGAAACCAGCTGAGAATTACAACTTTAGTAGGATTCTTATCAAGTTATTATCAAAATTTATTTTCTTGTAGATAATATTTGTAGTTATTGTAGTACGAACCATGGATATATAAGATAAGGAGTATTTAGCATATGGAAAATGATAGTGATGCCTATGTGAAGGCTCTCTTACATTTAATCTGTGGTGTCTGATTATCTGTTATCTATGCATACATTAAGTTATTTTTATTTTTTTCCTAAGCTTGTTGTTCTTATTTATAGCTCTACTTTTTGATCTATGTGGGAGGGTTCATTATTCTCCATGATCTGCACTTATTTCTTTCTTTCTCGATAAAGTTGCTTTTCTTGTCAAAATAAACAACTCAAACTTCTCCTTTTCCTCTCAATTCTTTCTTATTCTTATTTTCTTGTTTCTGGTGATCACACCTTATTTAGTTGCTTCCACAGCCTGCTAAGACTGTAGTAGCTTCTATAGGCTAGTTGATTTGGGTTAAGTCCTTTCTAATAGAAGTTTCTTAACTGGTGTGCTCACCTAGGGTTCCTTGTGTTGACAACATAAATCTCCCTTTCCAGTAGCTATGTCATTGGAGAAAACTCGGCTCTGGCAGAGAAAAAAAATTTCTTGGTTTGAAAAGATTGGATTCTTTTGTTTGTTTTGCTGCAGTTTGGTAAAAATATGAATCATGATATAAAATGAAAGGACCCTGAACACCTAGAAAGCACTAAACCGTCGGCTGCAGTACCTGTACTGGTACTGGTGCTGTAGTATGCCTTCTCTCCTTCCCTCCTTTTTTTGGTATGAATACTTTGAATATAAATTACAGTGACTGCATACTTCAAATAACAGCAATATTTTTTTTTTTTCTGAAAATAAATTTCCTTCAATGCATATCTATATAAATGGATGATAATATTTTGGAAAAAGAAAATTTATGTCCATTTTTTAACTTTGTTGCAGTTAACTTTAGCCAGCACGATTCATCTATAGCCATGCATAGTGCTACTGCATTTATCCCACCTCCTTCAACAGCTAGGTCTGTGTCAATGAGAGATATGGGTACAGAAATGACTCCTATTACTAGCCAAGAGCCTTCCAGGAACGGAACTCCAGTGAGGGCAACAACTCCAATCCGCAGTCCAAGTTCTTCAATGCCATCAACTCCTGGTAGAGCTGCACCAGCTTCATCTCCAACAAATGCTCCTAATGATCATCTCCATCTGAACAAGGAGTTGTCTGAAAAGGAATTGCAAATGAAAACTAGGAGAGAAATAATGGCATTGGGGACACAGCTAGGTAAAATGAACATTGCTGCCTGGGCTAGCAAGGAGGAGGAGGATAAAGATGCATCCACTTCTCTGAAAACTGTTCCAGTAGAACGACCAATTAAAAATATGATTGAAACGCGTGCAGCAGCATGGGAGGAGGCAGAGAAAGCTAAGTATATGGCCAGGTATGTGCTTATTCTTTTTCCCTTCTTCTCTTAGTCTGTAGAAGTCCAAACTGATCTTTGACATCCAAACACAGTTTTACTAAATTTCAGGTTTGAAAAGGGGGAATGCCTATAGGAACAATTCTGGAAAGTGGGATAATTAGACTGGATTTTATACTTTTTTTATTATTTTATTGAACGCAGCATAATATGATATGCTTTGCCTTGTCAAGAATAGATATAACACGGTACTTTGGGCCTCAAGAGTGTTGTAGTGCAAGGACATACATTTTGAACTTTCAATTGGTTAACATGCCTTTAAATAAGGAATGAGAAATCAAAATTATATATTTTAAAAGGAGCATAATCTACTGGATTGTCAAGGTATAGCACTTATTATCAGCTGAATTCATTTAGACACTATGGTGGGTACTTATTTGCAATTTGTGGTTTAAAAGTGATAATCCTGAACTGTGACTGCAATCATGTAGGTTCAAACGTGAAGAAATGAAAATTCAAGCATGGGAAAATCATCAAAAAGCAAAAACTGAGGCTGAGATGAGGAAAATTGAGGTTTATAATTTTCTACCCTTTTCTTTCTCCTTCCCTCCTTTTGCAGAATTTAATTCTACCTGTTACAATATTTTATTTTTCCTTCAGTTTCACAACATTTTAGAGATTCAGTTTTGTTCTTTTTGCACATTAACTGCTGCAGAAGTTCCAAAAAACTTAGATTTAATCCACAAATTCCTATCTATTCTTGCTCCAAGTAAACGAAGCCCCTGACTACCAATTGTGTTACAGTCAATTGTTTGAGTCTGGAATTAGCAGATTTTAAAATCTCTTAAACAAAATGATCCTGGAAAAGCATGGAAAGTGAAAGAAAAATTTGATGTGATTTCAGAATTAGAACTTTTAAATAAGGACATGTTCTGCTCCTGCCAATTCAGCTGATGAAGTTGGTAGTATTTTCCATTTATGATGGTGTCCTAACAAATTATGCAGCTTTTACATTAAAAATTGCATGTCTGAACTTCTGTGATTAGCTTTAATAATCATTCCTAGACTGTCACAAGCACAGGCCTAACTTTTGTGCTATCGTGTTGGTGGCATGTGGAGGTTACCATTTTGTTTCCACAAATACAACATACCGAACATAAAGTGACCATTTTTTGTGGTCTTTTACATCAATTCAAGTCAGAGTGGAGACAGCCCTAGGTGATGAACTAACTAAAAAGAATTGAGATGTCAAAAAAAAAAAAAAAGGCTGAAGTAAAAAGAATTGAGATGTCAAAAAAAAAAAAAAAGGCTGAAGTGGTGGCATGTGAGGTTACCATTTTGTTTGCCAACAAATACAACATATTGTATATCTTATTTAAAGTGACCATTTTTTTGTGGTCTTTTACATCAAATATCAAGTCAGAGTGGAGAAGCCCTAGGTGATGAACTAACTAAAAAGAATTGAAGATTTCAAAAAAAAAAAAGCGCTGAGTATGAGGTAAAAATTGGTTGAAAAAAAAAAAAAAAAAAGGCTGAAGTATGAGGTAAAATTGTTGAATTTTCCCCATTCTTTTGAGTCAAAATTTGATTTTTTATTCACATGGCAAGCCAGCAATCAGCAATCAGCTTTAGCTTAGTTATCTATCCTTGTGAAACATGGTAAATGGTGTGCCTTTGGTGGTGTGGCCAATTCTTTATCTGTTTATTCCTGCATAAGTTTCTGTTTATGGAAGCTAGAATCCCAGGATACCTGCATAGTGCTTTCCATGACATGACACGACATGGCCTGTCCAATTTTTCCTGCAGCTTCTGCTAGAATGTAATAAAGTCATTGAGATATATATAGTGGAAATAATTAGAAATGGTGTTTCGCCTTATCTGAATTTTTCTTATAATTGGCTTTCTGGCTTTGTTGTGATTAAACATGCCCTATTGCCTCCATCCTGTCAGTTTGAGACAATTTTTAATCTGGACAATTACTTGTAGTTGCCATTTAATCCAGACCAATTTCTTATACTTTTAGATGGAAGTTGAAAGGATGAGGGGGCGGGCCCAGGATAGGCTTATGAACAAACTAGCAGCAGCAAGGCACAAGGCAGAAGAGAAGCGAGCAGCAGCAGAAGACAAGAGAAATAGGCAAGCTGCAAAAACCGAGCAGCAAGCGGAATATATTCGCACAACTGGTCGTATCCCTTCCTCATTTTCCTTCTGTGGTTGGTGCTTTTGAAACCTGCAACACTTGATATGAGCAGGCTGGTTACCTTGGCAGATTGTTTTGGTTTCTAACCTGTCGTATGTATCCTAAACCTATCCCTTGACTGTAAAAGTCTTTTGTAATTATCTGTATACATGTGAGCTTATTTGTTTTCATACTTTTTGTATTTTAAATACCACTCACTATAAAATTTCAAGCCCACATTCAAATGATTGTTGGAAAATAGATTTAATTTGTCTAATAAACTCTCTATATGAAATTTATTTATTCTTTAAATGGGAAAAATGAGATCTTGAATTTCTTCTTGAACAACAAAGGAAAGCTTGGTAAACAGTTGGTGATAATTTCTGTTTGTGTCTGCGATGATGTTAATAGAGCATTTCACTAGTTTTAGTTTCTTTCAATTGTTTCTAATTATGCCAACGGAACATTATCTAAATGGAGAAAATGTGGACAAATTTTCAATTTGGCCCTTTTAATTTTTATTTTATTCTTTTGTTTGTCTTGATTTAATTCAATTTTGATTAAAAACAATTAAACCTTATTTTTTTGTGTATTGTTAAGTAACAAGAATATTTAAAATTTCAAAATAAATAATGTCAATCAAATTAGTAAACACTATATTCATCTCCAAAAAATTTTACTGTGTTCCAAACTTTAAAAAAGATCTACTTTGCCCCTAAAACATGAATTTTGGTAATGTTGAACATCTCTGTCCAATAGTAACAATAAGGTTTTTAACTTTTATATATAACTAGTTTTTTTTATGACTGCATTCCAAGTTGACTATGTTTATTATATATTTTCATTTTTTTCTACTCTTTTAATTTTTTTTGTCTATATAATATTAAAACATAAATTTTTGTTTAGATTAAAATAAATATAAGTGTTTAATTTATATTATATTTTGCCGTACAAGATACTTATAATACTACTTTTTGTGTACTTAATTTTATTTTTATACAATGAAGTGATCTCAAACTGAATGGGAGTGATCTCAAACTGAATGGGCAATGATAATTATTTTGGCTACAATAGCAATATTACTTACCTAGTGTATTAGAGAAAGGAATAAATGCACAGACACACAAATTCTTGAAATCCCAAAGTGACTTAAAATAAAAATATATAGTTCTAATTTTTTTCTAGTTTTCTAATCATTATTTTTCTTTCAAGTCAAACAAATTTAAGATATAAGAGAAAAAATATCAAGAAAATTAAAAATGCTTAATCATCAATAGTCTATCTATTTATTGCAAGGGAGATATAAATCTCTTACTAAATTAAAATGGTAATAGTTACAAATTATTCAGAAACAAAAAAATAAAAAAATTAATATTAAGAATAAAATTCTTTTCAGAATTCACCTCACAAAAAAGGTTTTACTATATATAGATATATGATTGTATCAATAAAATATTATATATATTTTTAAAATTAAAAATTTATTGTTCGTCAATTCCACTCACACATATATTCATTTTGTTTAAAATAAATTTTAAAAAGTAAAAATTTAAAACTTTTGAAAAGTTTAATTATATGTATTCTAATTGAATTTTTTTTTTAAAAAAAAAATATACCCAATCAAATCATATAAACATGAAAGAAAAAATATTAATAAAAATAATATAATTTTTTTTCTTTTTTTTATCTCCCTTCTACATAAAATATTATGTATATTCTATTTAATTCTAATTTGAATTTTTTTTTTAAAAAAAAAAATTATACCAATCAAATCATATAAACATGAAGAAAAAAATATTAATTAAAAATAATATAAATTTTTTTTTTCTTTTTTTTTATCATCCTTCTACATAAAATATTTATGTATACTTCTATTTAAAAAATTATTTTTTAAAAATATATCCAAATCAAATCAATACAAATATAAAAGAAAAGAATGATAATTAACAAAACAATATATATTATATATATATATAATATATATACTATATATATATATATATAATATATATATATATATATATATATATATACTTTTTATATATATATAATAATAATATTTTTTTTATTTTCTCTCTGAAATAAAATATTTAAATTATAAAATAAATAAAATCAATATTTAAAAAATAAAATATAAAAATTTTAAATAATCTCTTATAATATATATTTATTAAAAATTAAAAATAATTTAACTATTTTTAAAATTTTTGAAAATACCTAATTATCTATATGTGAATTTTTTAAAAAATAATTTTTATAAATATATTCCCAATCAACTAATAAAATATTAATGTAATTTAAAAATTTTGGAAAAGGTTTTAATTAAATGTGTATTCTATTTGAATCTTTTGTAAAAAAAAAAATATACCCAATGAATCATACAAACATAAAGAAAAAAATATTAAAAAAAATATAAACTTTTTCGTTTTTTTATCTCTCTCCTAAATATCCTAAATAAAATATTATGTATATTCTATTGAAAAATTTATTTTTTAAAAAAAAATATATCAAATCAAATAATAAAAATATAAAGAAAAAATAATATTAATAACAAGCATTTATTTTTTTATTTTTTTATTTCTCTTCGAAATAAAATAAATTATAATTAAAATAGAATCGTATAAAAATAAAATACAAAAATTTTCAAATGTATCTTTATCATATATATTTATTAAAAATAAATTTATAAAAGATAAAACCGAAAATTCTGGAATGCTTAATTATCTATATATATTTATTTAATATCCAATTAACTAATAAAATGTAAATTTTTAATTGGCTATAACTAAGATTATTTTAGCATATTGTAAATTTCATTAATGACACTATCGGAAATTCCATTATTTCCTCATTCCCACATATATATATATATATAGAAATATTAATTTGATGTATGATTAGTAAAACTTTTGAAATAATAATTTTTATTTTTTAAACTATTTAATAATTATTTAATTGATCTAATTTTAAAAATTAAAATTTTAAAAATTAAAACATTTAATAAAATATTTATAAATTAAAAAATTAAAGTGTCACAAAATTTCTCATTTAAAAAAATACACAGGGTGATATGGGAAAATGGTAAGAGTTTATGGCTAACTAAGAAATTAGGTAGTGGACATGAAGATAATTTTTATTTTTTAAACTATTTAATAATTATTTAATTGATCTAATTTTAAAAATTAAAACATTTAATAAAATAATTTTATAAATTAAAATTAAAGTGTCACAAAATTTCTCATAAAAAATACACAGGGTGATATGGAAAATGGTAAGAGTTTATGGCTAACAAGAATTAGGTAGTGGACATGAAGCTAACGGATATGACCTGTGGAAAGAAATAGCGAGTTGCATTAAGAAAATGACATGCAAGTGCTTGATATAAACAAAATTAACATATCACCTTTTAATTTTTTAATAAAATTTTATTTAATAATCAAATGTTTGATTAATTTCAAAACTAATTTAATATAAATTATTTTTATGATATTAAAATAAGGATATATTAGGAAAAAAAATAAGTAAAAACTATAATTTAACCATATTAACTAAATATTCTTAATCCATTTATAGGTCAAATCAAGACACAAATTATGTGTCGGAAAGAATAATTTATAATTTTAAGATTCTCCACTTCACTATTTAGTTTTTATTTCTTCATTTCAAGATTTAAATTTTCTAACTCTAATTCTATGGGTTCATAATTTAACATAACTACCGTTCTAATCCAAATTAGAATCAATCCAATAAAAGAAATAAAAGAATTATGAAAAAAAAATACTTTTTGCTTATTTTTATGAAACCACTTTCAAGAAACAATTTTAATTTAGAAAAAATAAAAAATACTTGTGAATAAATTTAGGTACAAAAGACCCTCGTTTTAGTCTTTTTATATTTAATTTGATTTTCCTCAACTTATTACTTTATCATTTATTCCATTTCATCCATAATCAACCATCTTGACCGTAGAGAAGCTGACAAGTAAAAAGACTATTATACACAAAGGCAGAGACAGTGTATGAAACTGATAGCACGTTGGTTGGTTAGGTAATGGTTGGTAGAGACCCTAATTCCAACTTTCTAGATTTAGCTTTTTGTTTAGGAAAATATTAGAGAAAGAAAATATTTTAGAGGAAAACTTATTTTTCATATTTTTTTTTTGGATATAATGAAAATTTATATTTTTTTTGGAAAGTATAAAATTTTAGAGGAAAAAAAATTATAATTATTAAAAATTGATAATTTTTTCATCACTTAAATAATTGGATGTTTAATAAAAGTTTGTAATTTATTTGCGCTATTTTAATAATTTAATAAAAATGAGTAAAATTTATAATTTTATTTTATTATTTTTTCTCCAAATTTGAGATGTTGAAAATATTTGGGTTTGAATTGAAAATAACTGAGATATTACTTTTTTGTAATATTTTTTTCGTCTTTTCCGACCATTGGAAATTACGCTTCCTTAGATATTTTTCATATTATTTTTATTCCTTTAGAAAAAAACATACTCTCATCCAAACAGTAGAGTTGCTTCTTTTTCTACAATTTTTTATATTAAATAATTGCCTTACTTTTATTTCTGATATTTATTTATTTATTTATTTTATTATATGATTTGATATTTTAATTTTTAATATTTTATAATTATCATATATTTTAAATTAATTTTTTTTAACTTTTATAATTTTATGATTAATCCAATATGTATTTTATTTTTTGAAAGGATCCAACATGTATTATTGATATGAAATATTTTATTATTTTAATTTTTTCATATAATCTATAGCAAAATAAATTGAATTCATACTATTAGACCAGAAAATTCATTTTTAATTTTCATTTAAAATTGAATGTAATGATTATAAAAATTTAAAAGATATTATAATAATGTTTTCGAAAATTAAAATTATCTTGATTATAAATTTAAGTGAAATAATTTAAGAATGAATTTTACATTTACAAAGAGAAAAGGCGGGTAATCCATTTTTGCCCTTTTGATTTTCTAAATTCTAGTTGGATGTTTGTTGAAGATTTTCAAAATTTTGCTTTTCCGTTAAGTTTGATTTGACTGTAAAAAAATTAAAATAAATCAACTAAATTATATATATTTATCTATATTATATATTCATAAAATATTTATATATATTTGACATAATAAGTAAAAATATATATTTATTTGTTATATACATTCTTCATAATTTCAACTAATTTAATTAATTCGATAATTTACTTTTTTAATTTAAATTTTCGATACTGATTTTACACATTACCCTTTGTTCCATAGTGTCATTTAAGATTGTTTTATAATCCACCTCATCCGTTATTTTGGAAAATTACCTTCTCTTCTGTTACTTTAGAGATTAATGACGTGGTTAAATTGAAATTTTCACTTTTTTTTTTTTACTACAATATAAATAACAGTGGAAGCCATCTCACTAACAATGTATTTATTAGCCAAGTGTTTTTTAGGATTGTAAGAGTCTCTCAACTTTAAATTGGAACATTTCAATATAATTACATTATTTCAAAAATAAGGCAATAATAAAAACGAAAATTGGTCTCCGACATCATGAACTCACCTTTTTTATGTGTTCAATCTAAAAAGACTTATAATTATTATTTAAAAATTAGGGTGCAATAATGTAAACCTTTGAAAAAAAAAAGGCGAAATATACAAAATATTATTTATTCTGACATCCATAAAATAAAGCACACTCGTAAGGGACCGGAAACAAATATAGTTCTAATATAAACTATTCAGTTTGTTCGCTAAAATCATAATTTGTGTTCATATCATTAAAAGTTAATTTCCAAACAAAGGCAATTTTTTTAAAGTAGGGTGCAACAATATAAACTTATGATTATTTTATACTGACCTCCCAAGAAAAAATAGTCATATCTGTGCTTTATGCATAAATTATTGCACATTTATTCTCAAAAAAAAAAAAAAAACTAAATTATTGCACATTTCTTAGAAGCTTATTACATTAAGCATTGCAATTAGGTTTATTTGAAAAAAATTTAAATTTGTGGCCATATTGGAAGCATAATATGGATATAAAGACTTCTTTTTTATAAGTAAATGAAACAATTGAAATGTGTGGTTATATTATAAAATTTGATCAATGTATATATTTTTATCTGTGCTAAAATAAGTCGAGCACATTTCTATTAAATCTCTCATAAATTTAGTCGGTACTCATGCTTTAAAAATAAAAGATTGTTAATTGGTTGACCCATCTTTTGTTTGATACTATACTTGTTAATTAATCAAAAAAACAAAGGCAAATTATAGAGGTTATTCAAGTACATTTGGACTTTTTCTTTTAGTATTTTTTTTTTAAATTTTCATTTAGAGTAAATTCTCTGTATAAATCAAACGCTTTAAATGGAAATTTTTTTCCAAAGTAACAAAGTAGGGGAATACAACTAATCACTAATTGAAATTAGCTCTTTTAGAATCACTTATTAAAATGATTCCTTTATAACTCTCTAAAATAATTATATATACTTAAAATAAATTATATATATATATATTATATATATATATATTTCTTTTTTCCTTTTTTTCTAATTAGACCTCATGAGTGGTGTAAATGAGGACCTTTTTTGGTCTTTTGGATTCTTTTGCCTTGCTCCTTTTCTAAGAGAGAAGGGGACTGGACAGATTAGAGAGAGAAAGAAAGAGAGGATAAGTTACAGCTAAGCATTTGTCTTGTTTTTTGGTTGGTTTCTTGTCTTGGCTGCTGCCAATGTTGACCACGACCCCGTTGCTTAACCATTCTAACAGTTAAATTATTTTAAAGAAATTTCCGTGTCCTTAGAAATATTCAAAAATGTTACCATTTGATTATTCTGAAGAATCCCCTTTTTGTTCTCTTGATATTATAACTTGAATGATTGATTGATGGGTTCCTGTTCTTCTCCTCAATTCTTCCTCTCCCTCTTCGCCATTTTGGATTACTTTTATCAAAACAAGTTCTTGTTTTGATTTGGGTTTGAGTCTTAGCTAGGGAATAGAAAATTGAATATGGGGAAATTTGAATCTGATAGAAAAGAAAGAAAAGAAAGATGAAGGAAAAAGGGTGGGGCTCTTGGAGACATATACTTTGTCTTGAATACATGGTGCCAAAGGGGGAAATCCCTTCCATTTTCGGAGAGTGCTGGATATCATGGCAGAATGAAAGGATGGGTGGTGGGACCTCTGTGTTTGAAAGGCAATCAAAAACTGCATTGTCCTGTTTGGTTATCGCCATATTATATTGATGCACATACTATTTAGTAATAGAAGATATGAGGTTGGGGGAAGATATCTTCTCAATTGCTTTCATGATTTTTCACTAACACAGAGAGAAAGTCCAGTTGTGTCTTGACTTCTAAGCTCTAAACTGTACCAATGAACTCTCTGAAAAGATTGAGGAATTATGTTAAGAGTTTCTTTAAAGAATCTTGGAGTTTTTCCATATTTGGATTCTTTAATTTGATGCAACGTGCCTCATAGTCTCCGCTTTTGGTGATGCCACTCGGATTAATCCCTCCCTTTGCACCCACCGGGCTAATCTTGTGGATAGTTTTGTAGTCCCATCGACCACCGGGTACCCCTCTATTAGGTATGGGACATAGGTTTACATACGCCACCAAGTAACTTTCAGGATCCAGCTATCCCGGAAGGTTTGGTTGAGGTGGCCTCTCCGCGGATGAAGTTCCTCCCGGGAGCCCTTCCGGGTGGCCACCAATTAGCTAAATTGGTCGGTTCCTAGTATCCAGAGTCTGTCAGAGGGGCATGTTCATCCGTCCAGCTACTTTGGCAGCTAGCTTCCGGAACCAACGTCCGGGCCTCCAGACGGCGACTGCGGAAGATTTTTTCTCCTTCAAATTCCCGCACCGTGGGAATAGATGTTTTCTTTTAACTAAATACATGAAGGAAAAACCATTTGTTCCGAGAAGCAAAATGGAATTTCAAAAAAATTTTTTCCCCCGCCCACCGAGGATGGTAAGTCGCGTTCACCCGGGCTCAAATGAATACGGACGCCCCCGTACTCATTTGCCAATTGTGCCTTTGCCTTCCCGTTCAACCATGCCCCTTCCCAGTCGTTAGATAACCATCTACTTCTCCTGTATTTCAACAAAATCATGCCCATTCAAAACCATAATCGCAATAAAATGATATTTTGTTAGATATGATATAGGGCTACCTTTATATATTCTTTTTTCCTTTTTTTTCTAATTAGACCTCATGAGTGTTGTAAAATGAGGACTTTTTTGGTCTTTTGGATTCTTGCCTTGCTCCTTTCTAGAGAGAAGGGGACTGGGACAGATTAGAGAGAGAAAGAAAGAGAGGATAAAGTTTACAGCTAAGCATTTGGTCTTGTTTTTTGGTTGGTTTCTTGTCTTGCTGCTGCTGCCAATGTTGACCACGACCCGTTGCTTAACCATTCTACAGTTAATTATTTTAGATTTCGTGTCTTAGAAATATCAAAATGTTACCATTGATTATTCTGAGAATCCCCTTTTGTTCTCTTGATATTTACTTGATGATTGATTGATGGGTTCCTGTTCTTCTCTCAATTCTTCCTCTCCCTCTTCGCATTTTGGATTTACTTTATCAAAACAAGTTCTTGTTTGAGTTTGGGTTTTGAGTTTTAGCTAGGAAATAGAAATTGAATTGGAAATTTGAATCTGATAGAAAGAAAGAAAGAGATGAAGGAAAAGGGTGGGGCTCTTGGAAATTACTTTGTCTTGAATACAGGTGCCAAAATCCCTGCCATTGGTCTAGGAACATGGCAGAATGGTGGGGACCTCTGTGTTGAGGCAATCAAAACTGCATTGTCTGTTGGTTATCGCCATATAGATTGTGCCCATCTTTATGGTAATGAGATTGAAGTTGGGGAAGCTCTTTCTCAAGCTTTCACTGATTCTTTACTAAAGAGAGAAGATGTTTTCTTGACTTCTAAGCTCTACTGTACCATGAACTCTCTGAATAAGATTGAGAATTATGTTAGAGTTTCTTTAAAGAATCTTGGAGTTTCATATTTGGATCTTTATTTGATGCACTGGCCTGATAGCTCCGCTTTTGGTGATGCCACTGATCCTCCTTCCAAATCTGGAAGTGAGTATAGACAGTTTTTGAATAGGTTAAAGCAAGCTTGGAAGGCTATGGAAGGTTTGGTTGAGTTCGGTCTTGTTAAAGCTATTGGTGTTAGTAATTTCAATGTTCATCAGATTAAGGAGTTACTCAAATTTGCCAAAATTGTGCCTGCTGTCAATCAGGTTAGATAATTTCTTTACAATTTGTTATATATATATTATAAATTTATGTGACTTTTATAGTTAGTATTGATTTAGTCTGTTGGATATATCTTTTGAACAAATATAATTGTTGTGATACAGTACTTGCAGTTTGCGAATTTCTTTATGTTGCTACTAATGCTTAACCAAGGAATACATAATTATATAGGGAGCTCCAATCTAACACCAAAGGAGTGAGCAAGCATAGTATGCATATTTTGAGATTTGTAATGATATTCTGTTTTTTGGGATAAAGGCAACAAAGGAAGCTCTTTCAAAGAACGTTTTTGAATAAAATTCCTCAAAAAGAGAGTAACATGTATTTCCTGATTACCTCCCAATAATGTGGAAGAAAAGCTGCCTAAGAGACAAATAAAGCAAAGCTCTATGCAGGATCCTTTGGGGGGACCAAATGTTTTTATTATTATTTTTATTCTTGAATGTTTTCTTGATATGTACAAGTAAATCTTTTTTTTTCCCTCTTAATCTCAGTATGGTATCCTTCTGATGAATATTTTCCGTGAAATTTGAATTCCTAATCTATTGGTTTTATTAGGTTGAGTTGCATCCTTTCTGGAGGCAAGAAGAATTAGTGAAGTTCTGTCAATTGAAGGGTATCCATGTATCTGCTCACACTCCTTTAGGAGTTCCTGCATCCAGTCCTGGAACTTCAGACAGTGGATCAGGGGAGGATGAACCTGGTACTCCTCGCATATCATTTAAAAGGTCAAGATCTGTACATGGACCCATGCTGAAATTGTCAGTTGTTTCAAAGATAGCGGATAAACACAAAAAGACACCTGAACAGGTAAATTCGTCTCTGCTACTCTCCTCCATAATTATACATTACAGAAAGTCAGTTTGTGATATATAACATTAAATTTTTGTACATGTTTTGCTTGCTTCCTAAAGAAGTAGCCAAATGGGTATAGTATCGTTTCAAGGTCTGAGACCATGATAGTTTTCTGAACTGGCATGAAAGATGACAAGACTTTTTAACTAAGAAATGGGAGAAAAGTAACTATTGGGCTTGGAGAAATCAAAACTTAAATTGGTGTAACTACATATGTGTGCATATGTATATAAATACCTTTTCAATTATAGTAAAATGATTTATATTTGTTCCTAAATGTGAATGCTGTCTACAGTGATAAAAGATTTCTAGGACAGAAACAGCTTGAATTTATTGATAGAATAACACACTACTCCTTTGAAACATGAACCTCGTCCATAAAAACAAGTATACATCCATAAACTAAGTTGTAGGTGCATATTGTAATGCAGAACAAATTAGGGTAACACTACAAACAAGTAATCAATAGGACCAATAGGTTAGGCGGACTCATGGGCAAGCTGCTAGCAGTAAAGATGATTGCTTTTGCTCTAGTGTATAATGTCTTATGGACATTCCACACCGCCTATTAAAGCTTGAGAAAGCATCAAAGTGTAAATGTTCAATTCTGTTAGAAAATGCAATTAAATTTGAAACAATGTGGGCACTTCTAAAATTTCATAAATGCTCCATTTGCATTGAAAAAAAATATTTTTTTACAATAAATCAGATTTAGATGTCTATCTAATGATGTCCATTCTTATTGTATGAAATGTGAAATGCACCCATGGTGAAAAATGGAAGTGTTAATCCCTCTGGCACCTAAAAAAAATGTGTCATTCCTCCTTGTAGTGTCTGCTTACCCGTACCTAAATTGGAGAACTTGTGTTTATTGAAATAACCACTTCATCAAGAATTAATCATAGATAAGTTGCAAGTCTCATTATATCCCATACAGGATTAGATGCCAACCTTTGCTGAAATCATCTTGAATACATGGAAGATTCTGAAATAGGAAGTTTTGAATGGTTGGATATTCATAATGTGAAGCCTGGCACATTCATAGGATTCCCATGGTTACTCTTTCTGAAGCAGTGTGGACTTGTCCTTGATACTGAATACATGGATCAAAGCCCTCAAAATCACCTAGCACTTGTTTGCATAACAATGTCGTTGCCTAATATACTAAAGTGTTTAATCTGGAAATGGCATGGATGTTGCATGACAAGGTTGATTTGTTAAGTAAAATTGATGGGTGCATTCAGAAGTTAAGGTGTTTTTACTGATTCGGCAACAAAACATGCTTACATTTGATATTATAATTTGGTATAAAATTTCACACTTGGAATTCCTAATATAAGAAGTTAGCTAGTATTGAAAATGTGATAATAAAGAACCAAAAGTCAGCAATGAGGCTACTTTAGAAATCTTTCAATAGTTCAGACATGAGAACGAAAATTTTAGAATATTTAGATTCTTGAATAATCGCCAAACTATATAATATTTCAATGGTAGTTGGAAAAATATTTTGACATTTAACTTAATTGGTTAAGAGAAACAGAAAATTTTTCACTTACCAGTGAAGGTTTCTATTAATATGTATAAAATGACAGTAAACATTAGGCTGGATTACGTATTCAGTTAATATTTTCAGTGAACTTAAAATATACATAATAACTTTGTGTTTTCTTGTTTGCAAAAGTTGAAAAAACTTATGTAAGATATGAAGAAAACCTTGAATAGGATATATACATGTATACACCTAGATGGGATAAACCATAATAAGCCATGGTATGCTTCAAAAAACACCAAGACAAACATACCATATGAAGTTGAAAATAAAAATAAATATTTTTCATGTTTCTTCTTTCTTTGAGTCAAAAATTCAAAATCTGATTACTATTTTTTGTAATTTATTTGAGAAAATTTATGTACTTAAAGTTCATCGGCTCATTGCTTAGAGTTTTTTTATCCACAACATGAGAGAAAGAAACAATTTTTTTTTTTTTTTTTCGAATTGGGGTTTATTTGAAGGCTTGGATTCATTTCTTATTTTGCTTCTTCCATTTTGCTTTCTCTTATCATTCAAGTTATTTTAATGGAAAACTTAAAAGAAAAAGGGTCACATTTTTTCCTTTCTTTATTTGTTTTCCACCATAGCCTTTACCTTATGTAGCTTAGTTTTCAATTTTTTCCTCACTGGTCTTCTTCATGTTGTAAGCAAAAGGTCTTATCATCCGAATCACAGCTAATTTAATCTTATTACAGGGGTATATTTTTCCAAACATTTTTATTTGGTCAAAGGTTCTTCACCAAATTCTTTGTTATTTCAAAGCTGCATGGTTGATAATTTGACTTTGCTAATAATTTTGGGGAGCTATCTGGCTATATCATTGACAATACCATGTTTAGGCAGGAGTTTTTGTCTTCTAGCTCATCTGGCCTTTTTAGACTTGTCTCAAAGGTGGTTGAGCTTGAGGCCTGTGTTTATTAGAAGTCCTACACATCCCAGCTCTCTCGATTAATAGAATACTTTTGTTTTGGGTTGGACTTGGTCAAACGTCTGTGTACTTTTCCTAGGCCAAGGTTCAAAAATCTCAACCTCCATCCAACTTGACGTAGCAAAATAGAGAGGGCAAAACTGGTTACACAACTAAAATTTCTGGTTACAGAACCAGGAAATAGACCACAAAACTGTGTCCTTTTTATAATTCCAAAATCTGCTTTAAACGAACATTACAGCCTGTTTAATATTGGTTCTGTATTTTAAAAAGCACAAAAATTTTCTAAGCGCAATAACCGCGCCAAGTACTTTTTTTACCCAAGGATTTACTACTTCGGGTCTTTTAACTAGCATGCATCGCTCCGAAATCTTAGTACCTGCTCTCAAATCCCATTGGTTCATGATGCACGCAAGTATGATGATATTGGGGTATGCAGCTCTTTCGTGTGGATCATTTTTATCAGTAGCATTTCTAGTAATCACATTTCGAAAAATTATAAGAATTGTTGATAAAAACAATAATTTATTAAATGATTCATTTTCTTTTAGTGAGATACAATATATGACGGAAAGAAAAAATGTTTCAAGAAATATTTTTTTTTCTTTCTTCTACTAATAGGAATTACTGTAGGTTTCAATTGATTCAAAATCTTGTCAAATCCAATGTATCCTTAATCAATTCACTTTTTTTTATTCAATCATAGATACAAAAAGGGTGGTATATTTTTTCGTTTTCAAAAGAGAAAAAAGTTCTATCTAAAATTGAATTGAAAGTAAAAAAGATTCGTTTCTAGATCTAATTAATACATGATTGAATTTCATATGAATATGGAGTGTAAAAGAATAACGTGCCTACTTGATCAGATATGCTATGAGATATATATGAAAAATGCACCTTTACTAAAACTAAAATTGCGCCCATGGATATATGTATATTCTTACCATATTGAAGCAACTGGCATTATTAGTGTCAAACCAATATTTATAGTTTAAAATCCTTCAATTCTAGAATAAGATCTTAACCAAGAATCCTAATAGAATAGGTGTAAAGCAAAAAGGTTATTTTAGAATAGTCTTAGTAAATCCTAATAGTAAGTAGGACGTGATTATTCTAAATAAAGTCTAAAATAACCATCATTTGAAGATTGTTTTAGTAGCATGGACAGTAATTTGCTATAGTAATAATGAAGAGTAACTTCAAAATCCTTAAATTATGTCCTTTTTTCTCTTGCAAAACAACTTAACGCTCCTTTTTAGTAGAGCTTTGAGAAAATAACAAAATAAATACGATCATCAAACACATTAAATTTCATTTGCAAGATTTATTGATTAACAATGTTCATAAAATTAACACTATTCAGTTTTGTTCATAAAATGGACACTATTCAGTTTAGTTATCAGTACTTGTCTTTTAGGAAAATTACCCTTACCTCCTTTTGTTTCAATTCAATTATGTTTCACTCTAATACTTGTTATTGGTAGGCATGACCATTATCCAGCTCAGTTCCATTTAGAATCAAGCAGAAATGAGACACCAATTTTTTTAGAGGGGAAGTATAACCTAAATTAAAATAATGTTAAAAGAAAAGGAACCTACTGAAATAGCCAAAATTTTAAAGAATACATATTAAATATATGCAAATATTTCTATCCCATGTGTATACTTCAAATAGTTTGGCTGGCTTTTTTAGTTGAGAAGAAATAGTGGTCACCCTTAGTTTTTGGCACTCCCTTCTTCCTCTAAATTTTACAAAGACAACGAAGTGCCAAGATAGGAATTTTCAAACATCTACTTAGTTTTATGTTAACAAAGTCATTATGGTCCATAGAATCGTGTAGAGGCTGAAGTTTTAGACTTGGATGGAGGTAAGGATGAATGTATTTTGGGTGTTTTTACTTGTTCTAGCTATGGTTGCAGTTAGAAGGAGAAATCTCATTACAAGCATAAAAACAAATAATGTACATTGTGAAAAGCAGAATTTTGTTGTATGCAATACCTCAGAAACATTCTAGACATTGTGAATCAGTAAGACACAATAATCATACATAATTCCTTTTAGAATGTTATATGCACCATTATCCATGATATAATTTGATTGCAAAAAGATATTCCCTCATTTTAGTGCCAGTTAGATATTACTGCTTGGCTTTTGTAAAATAAAAGTTTGCATCCTTCAAGTTGAAGTTATGGTTAGTAGTTGATGAAATGAACCTTTTAACCCCTTCCTATGCATTCTTCTATTGGTGGTTGAGCTTTCTCTGAAGCCATTTTTGGAGAAATACATTCCTATCTTGTTCACCAATTCAAGCAATTATCTTCTCATGCAGGCTGGATTTTGAGCCTGCAATGTACTATTCGTTTGCTTGTTAGGCTTTCATTTGCACCTACTTAAGTCTTCAGTTGCTTTGCACGATATTAAGAACTTTTTCTTGATTGTTTGGCAAAGTGATAGCACATGTTGTTGGTCTTGAAGTATAAAGATAAATATGGTTATATTTTCTTCATGGTATCCAAGTGAGCAAACAGGAATTAGGAAACATTTAAAGTGAATGTTAAAACATGTCAGGCCTGACCTAAGACAATTTCTCATGCAGATTATAAGTAGTATCATGTTATTTTATGTGGTTGATTCATGGAGTTCAAAACTACAATTAAGATAATCTGCCAAATTTTGCAAATATTCTCTTTAGCTTCACTTTTTGTTCTATCATTTCTAGTTTTCACTTGCATTATATTAAAATATAGTATTAATAGCAAGTCGCTATTAATGTCATCATTGATAATCCTAGATAGTTATGCTTTGGAACAAATGCAGAAGAGGAAGGGAGGGTTTTCAAAGAAAGGGGAGAGGAAGAAAAAAATTGTCACATTTATTTCATTTGGAAAAAAGAAGGTAAGGGGAGAGGAAGAAAAATGTATTTTGTTTTCGGAGAGAGAAGAAGAGACAATTATATCTTTTTTATATTATTATCGTGATGTTTTAGTTTGATTTTATGATGAGACTAAAAAGGATAAAAGGTTTCTTTTCTCTACCAGGAGTTAATATTTTTTTAAGAAAATTTTAAAAGCCAATTACAATCGGGGACGAATTCCCCTGCCTTGCCCTTCTTCTCCTATGTTCCCCCTGGTAATGATGCATTTTAAAGTTAATCTTATAACATAACTAGATTCTGTTAGTTGATCCACGTTCTCCCATGAATTATAAATGAAGGATAACAAGTTTGACGGAGAGCTGAAGAAACTTGTAACGTCTTTTAGTGGAGGTGTCATGGATGAGGTGTGAAAGGTCTGACCATGTGGTTGAAATGCCCAAGGCATGGAGGATCTTAAGGAAAGAAAGTGGTTTTGGGGTGTTGGGGGTGGGGCGTCCAAGGGAATTTGAATGCATCTGCTGAAGCTTTCTCCACATTTAGCATGGACATGCTTCCTTTTCATTGTATATGATTTTGTCTTCATCAAAGATTTTCAAGCAAAATATTTCTTGTAGGTTATTCTCCGGTGGGGACTGCAGAGAGGAACCAGTGTTCTACCTTGTAGCCTTAAGCCTGATCGGATAAGAAAAAATATAGATATCTTCAATTGGTCTCTGTCGGATGAAGAGTGGAATCGCTTGAACCTGATTGAACCACAGGTATGTTTATTTGGAAATGGCCTTAATAACCTCTCAGACAGTGGCTCCATATTTGGTAGTTGTCCCCTTCAAGTTGTACGTGAGATAGAGGATGATGTGGAATGCAATGCCTGATATATAAATTATAATACTATTTTTATTTAAAATAATGAGGTCCATTTATGTTAAAAGATGCCATGATTGTTATAATTGCCCATTGTTTGTGAGATTTAGATTTTGTGGTTGCTGAATAGGAAATCAAAAGTTTCATTATTATTGTTGATTGAAGTGGAAATTTTTTTTTTTTTACAACAGTAACTGTTTATATATATATACAATCTTTTCTTTCTGCAATTTGTATGCTTGAATGCAAAGTCAAGAGGTGATCAACTTTGAATGAACATTTAAGACAAATTTCTTGATGTCATAAAATGATATTCAGAAAGGATAAGACGACTCTGCTTTCGTTGTATGGGTTCATTCATGCAGCAAACCAATAAATAGCTATTTTAATCATTGTGATTTGCACTTAATTACCCACCATTGCAAGTCCTAACCATCTAATCTTTGAGGCCATGAGGATAACAGTAGAAAGTATAAAGTCAAATTTATGCATCCTAAATTAAAAAATGGGAACCTGTACAGGGGATTTTACACCTAGGGTTGACCTTTCTGAATCTCCAAAATGTAGAACATCTGTGTCAGGCTAGAACCTGATTCGGCCCACCCAATAGTATATGTTCACTACATGAACTGGCAACGTGCACAGCTTATCTTGGTCCATATCCTAGGTCCACAAACTTGATTAATCATGTTCGCCTTCGGAGGCAAAGGGTGACTTAAGAGAGTTTGCATTGCGGAGGATCGAATCTTCGAATCTATGACCTAAGCCATGGTGATCAACTTCGTAAAGGCGCTATACTATTGAGCTATTCTATTCAAGTTAATTGATGCTATTTGTAGGCAATGAAACAAGACAAATTATCTTCATAAAATATATACTATTAATTAGTTTTATATAATAACTTTATCCATATACTGAGCAAATACTTAAATGCTAATTTCTCTCTCTTTTTTTTTTTTTTTTTTTTTTTTTTTTTCAATTATCTTCATAAAATATATCACTATTAATTAGTTTTATATAATAACTTTATCCTATATACTGAAGCAAATACTTATGCAATTTTCTCTCTCTTTTTTTTTTTTTTTTTTTTTTTTTTTGTCTTTTTTTTTTTTTTTTTTTTTTTTTTTTGTCGGTGAACATAGATAGTTTCATTGTACTGAATACTTTTATTGAATTAATCTGGTGTACATAAAGTGAAGGTAAGTCTAATATCTAACATATTATTTTATTGGAATTCTAACAAGTTTTTTTAACCATGAAAATTATCCATTAACTGCCTTTTCCCTCTATTTTTCTATTTTTTTTTTTAAATTTAAATTTTCATTAATGAACATTTTGACTGAATTCAAAAATCAAAAGTTAAATTACAAACAATTGCTATTGAATTTAGTAAAATAGGCAGATTACTTTGTCTTCAAAATCAAATTATTCAAAGAAAATCACTTTCAGAACAAGGAATTAGAATTTTTTTTTCTCCTTTTTCAAATTTTGATTGAGTATTTTTTTTTTTTTTCTCTACACATGGACAGCTAGCAAAAGACCAATCAAAGCAGGCACTTAGTCAAATTAGCTAAAATCGCTTTTTTTTTTTTTTTTTTAAATTTTAATTTTTTTTTTTTTTTTAATTTTAAATTAGCTTATAAAGATCCACTTGCCTCCACTGAGAAATTTTCCAGAAGTAGCCTTAATCGTATGGCCTTAGAAAATCTTCCCAATAAGGAAATTATAACAGAAGAAAGCAGATTCTTGAGAGAGTGGTCAATTCATCTTTTTTCTGGTCTCATTTCAGTATTGTGCTGCCTTGACATTAAATGATATTTGGTGACCATATCTTTAACTTTTAACCATTTCCTTTTTCTTTGTATTAGTTGTGAAGAAAGATTATGACAAGTAGCTTTCCAAATGATGCTCTCTCTATGTATATATCATCATTATCATTTCATTATAGTAACTTATCTTATAGATCAATTTTGGTTCATTGATATTATAATTGCCAGCCAATTCAAACTCCATGAGAGGCCATTGGTTCTTTATTTGAATTTAGTAACATTAGTGGAACATTTTGTCTAAATAAAATTATAGGCTCAATTTCGATAAAAAAATATTTTTATCATAATTGTCAGTCAGCTGATGGTTTGATTGATCTTTTTATTTTTGTAAATAGCGGACGTTTTCAAAGTCGAGTCTTTTCGACCACACTTATATTTGTTTTAAAAATAATATTTGCATTAGAATAATAACGATAAACAGAAAAATTAATTAGTTCTAATAAAAAATAAATATTTTAAGTAGTATATTTGAGCATAACTTACAATTAAATAAAATATTAATCCACTCCAATAATAATTATTATGATGAGAAAGTGTTGAATGAAATGATTAATATTATTATGAGTGGGGAATTTGTGATGGTGGTTGTTGCCAGCTGAAAGGAGGTGGAGAAGCATGCTTTGTCTGTGATTTCAATGAGTTTTTTTTTTTTTTTTTTACTGTGATTTCAATGAGTTTTTTTTTTTTTTTTTTGGTGCAATAGTTGGATTAGTGACAATCTAATTATTTTTTTTTTTTTTTTTTGGTGCAAAGTGGAAGTGACAATCAATATTATTATTGTTTGAAAATTAATTAACTAATTAAATAAATTAATTGGTAATAAAGTGGATCCCATTTCAGAATATTCCTATTGGTTAAAATCATTTAAGTTAAAACCAAGTGCTTAAATGCTTAAGTGCTTCTATTATATAGTAATTAAGTCCACCACCACTCACACTTTACTCTTATTTTTTTTTAATAATCTTCCACAAACTAATCTAATATTCTTGCACTAAGCTAAACTTGCAATGGCTTACAACTTTTTGGATAATAATTTATATTCTATTTTTATAAAGGTCAATCCCAAAAAAATTAATTTAAAAATCATTCTTTATAACTGTACAATTGCAATTGTAGTTTAATTAATTAATTAATTTTTTAAATTAATTTCAATTTTACCCTTGTACATATCAAACATATTAACTATTTCTATAATTTTCTAAAACTCACACTCCTTAGCTAATTTGATTCATTCCAAGAGTTCATCACTGCCTACCAATCCTGAGGGTTACTGTATTTGTTTAAGAAGCCTTTCATATTAACATTGAAACCATTAATTTCATTTTTGGTATCTAAATTTTATTATTTTTTTAAATTTAATACCAAAATAGAAGAAATTTATAATTAAGTTTTTGAACTAATAGTTTTTTACAGTTGAGTGCATTTAGTCAACATTTCTCATTAGAAAATTCAAAATGAATTGTTTTACTTAATTGACTTTTACTACTGTACAAATAGTAATTATTCTGTATTGATATAGGATTCTCATTAATTGACACGTGTATATATAATAGGTTACTCAACCTGTTATTCCATTTTTTATCTATATATTTTCTAACTTTATTTTTTCTTTATCCACATCTATCTTCTATCCTATAATAAGATATTATATAAAATATTATCTAATGATAAATATAAAATTATCTAGAAAAATTCAAATTCATGTACATACAAATTTTCCTTTACAAGTATAATGAATAAGTAAATTATTACACGCATAATTTTTTTTAATTAAGAAACTAGTAAAAATATATTAATTACAATTCTATATTCTAATTTAAAAATTGAATGTTATAACTTCATCATACATGGACTTTATATTATATAAATTCTAAACCAAACAAAATTTATTCAAAAGCTAAATGAGGACATAAAAATTTATTTTTTAAAATGTAAAATATAATTTATAATGAAAATAAAATTAATCAAGTTGAAACTTAAAGATTAGTAAATTTAAATATATAATAATGAAAATAAATTAATCAAGTTGATAAACTTAAAGATTAGTAAATTTAAATAATATATAATAATATAATTATATTATATATATACTATATTATATATATTATATGTATGTTGTTTATAATTTGATATTTTTCAATAACTAAATAAATATTATGCAAAATATGTTAATATTGGATTGTTTTTAAAAAAATTGAAATGAATTTAAGATAACAATTGATTATTAACTATTACAATATATAGTTTAAACTTGTGTAATGATAAGATTATAAGGGTAGAGATTCAATAAGTCAAGCATTAGAGTTTATATAATTTATGTTTTTTAATATTAAAAAATTTATATTTAAACATATAATGGAGAGTTATATTATATATTATATATATATATATATATATACATCTTCATTATATGTTTTAACTATAATTTAAATTACAATATATACATCTCATTATATGTTTAATATAATTTAAATTACATGATACATGATAATTGTTTTAATAATAAGAAAATAAAAATTTATAATTATTTATTAAAACTTTAAATAATCTATTTTGAGTAAATGAATTTAAAGTATTAGACAATTATTTATCTTTGAATTTTTTTTATGTTTTATAGAATTATAGTTGTGTTGAAAATAATTTTTTTAATTTACACAATTAAATAGTTTTTTGTATTTTAATAATAAAAAACTAAATGCTCAACTTTTGATAACCCAATCTATAAGTAACAGGTCATTTGATCAATTTGAAATCTAATGGTATATGTCTAACTAGTTTAAATCTAATGTTGAAAAAAGGTTCAGTATTAGTAGGGAAATTTTCAAATATGTGCTGTAGTCTTACCCTACTCTATTGCTTTGTTTATTTTTCTAGATTATTACTTTTTTTATTATTTTTTTTCTCCTTTTTTATTTTCTTTTGGAATTGAAAAAAAAAAATTAAAAGCAATTTTTCAGACTTTTTTTTTAAGAAAAGAGATATGGGATAATAAAAAATTTTTAAAAATAAAAAATAATAGATGAATTGAATGGATATTTATATTTGATATCATTTATTGAGTTCAATAATTCATTTTAGTTATCAAAAAAATAAAATTTTGGTCAAATGCATGTAACTTTTTAACAAATCAAATAATTAATTGTAATTTTTTTTTTCATTCTGATACAAAAGCGAGCAAAAGTAAAAAAATTCAAACACTACCCTAAGGGTGAGAAAGAATGACAGAAATCCTAGGGATTCTCCCTTAGTCAGAGGTCTTGAGTTTCGAACCTTAGATATGGAGTTCTTTTAAACATTTGGGAGGAAGCGCTTTACCCCCTTTATTGGCCTATCAT